TAAACTCTCTTTACTAACTCACACAGCAGTAAAGAAAAGTGAAAACATTAACCAATCAAAATGCAATAGGAAGCATAGTATTCACTGAGATAAGGCTCCTCCTCGTCTTTCTTTACTGCTCCATCAGCAGACAGGTCAGAGTTTTTGGCTCTTCCCTTACTTTTCATGTTTCATACTGTTTGTTTATTTTTGATGCTTTATATATTATTATTTCCCTATTTGTTTCCTAGGACTTCTGTCCTTCTGCCTTATACTGTCCCTCTCAGGATTTCCCCCCTACCCTCAGGGACTTACATTGGTACCTTACTGTTTAAATTCCCTTTATTTATTGTTTAATTGTTATTATTTATTTTATGTTCCCCCATTTGTTCTGTGTTATTGTTTTGTTTTCCGATCTCCCTGCTCGAGGGTAACGCTCACCCTCCTCTCTATTTGTCCGCCGCGCGGCTTCTCAGCCGCTCTCACTAGCCGACACGGCGGGAAACCTCTTTCCCGTCCCTCCGGCGGCCATATTCGATCTCGCGTCTCGCGAGAGTTACGGCCGCCATCTTGGGAGACCCACGGTCTCGGTTTTTTTGGCTCCCGACCGCGTTTGCCACACACTATTCAGGCAGGGGTCAGCAGGTTAGTGCATCACCCATCTAACCTCCCATAAGGACTGCCAGTCCCATACATTGGTGGACCACTATCAGTCTTCCTCTAAAGCCACACCCCATGACTACGATTCTGAGGCTTCTGAATCGCAGACACAAGCCGACCCACGGCCTATTAAACGCCACTGGAAGGGCGAAAAGGGGACCGTTGTCCCGGGCAAAGGCAAGGCTCCTACCAAATGCCATAAGCCAACCCGACCTTCCCCCACCTCTCAACACGGTTACTAGGGGAAGACCCCTCGCACTCCTTGGCTATACTGGACGAGTGGAAGGACGGCAGATTCCGACTCACATGACGACGAGTGGGGCTCGGACACCGGTTCCCATACCGGTTTCTTAAGAGGCACGTTCCTGGATGACATCCAACTACCAGATGACCTCGCATCTGCCCAGGAAGAAGGGGAGGCCATCCTCGACCCTACTGGACAACGCCTCTTTGACCCTCGTAATATACAACACCCACGCTCAGCGGACTGGACTCCGCCTGACCACCTCTCCAAATTTATGCACCGGTGGCTCTGCAAACCTCTGGACAAGACGGTGCGCAACCGCCTTCGCTCCGAATGTCCTCGCCCTTCGTGCCCTCCGTGCCCACAGACCTCAGCCCTTCTACCCAGAAGTCGGCTTCAGACAACCCTTCTCCTATACCAGAGGAGCCGACCGAGGCAGAGGACCACGTGGTCGTGGCAGAGCACGCTTCCCCACAGGTAAGCAGCCTTTTGAATTCCCCCTTTTCCCCACGTACTGCTGGTCGTATCGCTCTATATTTTCAGACCTGGACCACCATCTCCGCGGACGCTTGGATCCACCAGACGGTGCGAGGATACATCATCGATTTCGTGGACATCCCGCGCCAGAATTTTTCCCCACACGCTACACGATGCTCAGCGGAGGACCGCCGACTCATTGACGGCGAACTGCAGGACCTCCGAACGAAAGGGGCAATCGAATCCGCTCCAAACGGAGGGGGTTTCTTCAGCAATATCTTCCTGGTCAAAAAGAAAACGGGAGATTTCAGACCAGTCATAAATCTAAGGCAGCTAAACGCATATGTGATGTACCGACATTTCAAAATGGAAGGCATCCACCTTCTAAGAGACCTCCTTCAAGACGGGGACTGGTTCACGAGATTGGACCTCAAGGACGCGTACTTGTCAGTACCCGTCCACGTCTCTTGCCGACAGTTCCTCAGGTTTCATTGGAACGGCCTACCGTGGCAGTTCACATGCCTTCCATTCGGCCTCAGCTCAGCCCCATGGTGCTTCACCAAGCTGCTAAAGCCGGTAGTTGCACATCTTCGCACACAAGGCATTCGTTGCATTATCTACCTGGACGACCTGCTACTGTTTTGCTCAGACAAGAACAGACTGACTCTACACACGCAATATACCATCCGTTTCCTGACGTCCCTAGGATTCGTTGTGAATCACCAGAAGTCGGCAATATCTCCAACCCAGACCATACAATTCTTGGGCTTCGAGATAGACTCCACGTCCAGCACCCTGCGACTGCCAACGTCAAAAATCACAGCCATCAAGAAGGATCTACGCCGGGTCCTCCGTTGCCACTCCATTCCACTCCGCACCTTGGCGCGAATTGTAGGTCTACTATCCGCTTCCATCCAGGCAATTTTCCCGGGACCGCTACACTACAGAGCAACGCAACGCCTGAAGACGTCCTTCCTTCGCCGGAACCCTTCCTACGATCAGACCATCCCGGTAACGGAGGAAGTCAAACAAGAACTCAGCTGGTGGTTGGACAGCATGGAGGCATGGAACGGCCGTGCCATTTTCGGGAGCTCACCCGACACAGTCCTGGAGTCGGACGCGAGCCTCTGGGGCTGGGGCGCAACTTGCGAAGGCAGGTCAACAGGCGGTGCCTGGAGTTCCCAAGACCTCAACCTCCACATAAATTGTCTGGAACTCCTGGCCGGGTCGTTCGCGATCCGCAGCCTAGCAGGAAACAAGTCGAACTGTTGCATCCTCCTCCGGATGGACAACATATCTGCGATCCGCTACATCAACCGCCTGGGAGGTGCATGATCCCGACTCCTCTCGGAAATAACGAAAGGGATCTTCGACTTCTGCCTACCACGCAACATCTCCCTCATTGCAGAGTATCTCCCGGGAGAAACGAACCTGACGGCAGATTGGTTCTCACGCCACTGGCGAGACAGCAGCGACTGGAGACTGGACCCGCAGATATTCCAGTGTCTATCGTGCAGGAGGGGTCACTTTCACCTGGATCTGTTTGCGTCACGCACCAACAGGCAGACGACAAACTACTTCAGCTGGCTCCCGGACCAGGAGAGCATGGCAGTGGACGCATTCCTCCAACCATGGCCGCCCAGAGGAGCTTACGCCTTTCCCCCTTTCGCCATGATGGCGAGGACGATTCTGTACCTGAAGACCCAACGAGGGTCTCTTCTCCTCATCGCTCCCCTATGGCAGAGCCAACCCTGGTTCCCGGACCTCCTGGCATCGTCCTTCATGGATCCGCTCCTCATACCATCCTACCCAACATTCCTCACGGACCCGAAAGACAACCCCCATCCTCTCGTTCTGGAAGACCGTCTCGCCCTAGTGGCTTGGACTCTTTCAGGGGTGCCTGGCAAACCAGCGAGTTATCGCAGGCAGCTAGAGATCTCATATGGGACTCATGGGCTCCAGGTACCAGGCGATGTTACCTATCAGCTTGGTCCTCCTGGTCCTCTTGGTGCAGTGAACGGAACATCGATCCCTTTACTCCCCCTGTGATGGCCATTTTGAATTTTCTTTCCTTTCTTTTTTCCTCAGGCCGTTTTTATCGCTCTCTCAACGTTGTCCGCTCCGCGATTTCGGCGGCGCACGACCCGGTCATGGGAATCCCTGTAGGCAAAGACCCTATGGTCTGCAGACTCCTGAGGGGCGTTCGGTTGCAGAGACCCCCTCAACCCAAATACTCTCGCTTATGGTACGTCGAAGTTGTCCTACAATTCCTAAGGGATTGGCCGGACAACGGCAGACTATCCCTACGACAACTCTCGGCAAAGCTAACGCTGCTACTCTGCCTTGTCTCGTTCCGCTGGGTCTCGGACGTCCGCGCTTTCGACCTCGACGCCTTTTCGGTCTCACCAGAGGGAGTTACCTTTCGAGTTTCACGTCGGACGAAGTCGGACTCTACGTCGGTCTTTTATCCGTTTTTCCCGTCTGACCCACAGCTCTGCGTGGTGGCTACCCTACGTCGGTATGTGGAGGTCACATCCCCTCTCAGGGTCTCTCCCTCGGGTCAACTGTTAGTATCTTATGTTAGGCCACACGTGCCAGTCTCGGTCACTACCCTCGCCAGGTGGATAAGATGGATTCTATCATTGGCAGGAGTGGACGAGACTTTCGGAGCCCACTCCGTCCGCGGAGCGGCGGCTTCTTCGGCCTTCTCGGCGGGTGCTTCTCTGACAGATATCCTACGCTCGGCGGATTGGTCGCGAGAATCTACCTTTCGGACATTTTACTTCCGCCCGAACTCGGGAGCAGCCTCATCTCTCCTTCATCAGCGTTAAAAATGCAAAATATGAAGCCTCCTGTCATGTGGTAAAATTGAAGATTATGCTAGCTTTAGTGTACCTATAATCTTAATTTTAATAATGACAGGAGGCGAGTATTTTCCCGCCCATCCCTCCCTTGGGAGATAAGGCTCACGTAAGTATGTCTGACTCTGTATGCTTCAGTCTCTGTTTGTGTTTGCTTGTTCTGCACTTTATTGGCGATAGCCTTGATCGTTTTCTTATACTTGGTATTCTGTTATCATTATTTTCAGTTATATGTTATCCCTGTATCTAATCATGGGCTGTTACCTTTAATTCAACCAGTCTCCAGACCGGTTCCTAACCTATTTCACGTTCTCTTTCAGTGTAATTCCGGGGCCTTACAGCTCATTATCAGGACGGACTCAACTACGACTTCGCCTGCTCAACCTTCATTTTTGGATAATCGCCCGTTGGCGCCTGTTATGGAACTTTGGACTCTTTGGACCTGTATTCATGATATCGCATTAGAAAGAGGGGGAGGAGCCTTATCTCTGTGAATACTATGCTTCCTATTGCATTTTGATTGGTTAATGTTTTCACTTTTCTTTACTGCTGTGTGAGTTAGTAAACAGAGTTTAATGCAAAATACTCGCCTCCTGTCATTATTAAAATTAAGATTATAGGTACACTAAAGCTAGGATAATCTTCAATTTTCTCTTTTCCTTCTTCCCCCTCTTTTTTAATATGTGCTTGAGAATGTGATTTTATAGATATAGATACATATTTTTGGTATAAGACTATCCTTTGTGTATTATGCCTTTTTAAAGTCGTTTTTGCCATATATTGGAAGGCATGGCCTGAAGTTGTGGGAGGGGCTATAGATCTACTTAAGGGACTCCCCCCTTCCCTTACTTACCTTCGTTGGTCTAGACGAACAGGGTGATACTCGCCAGCCTTTTCCCTTCCGGCTTCCTGTTGCGCTACGTCACTTCCGGTGAGACGCGGCGCCTGGTTCAAACGTCACATCGTGAGTATCCGGGACTCCCCGGCACTACCGGCTCCACAGGCCGACCGGCTCCCCCAGCTCGACGGGGAGGTGAGCGGGGGGAATTATTCACTGGGCAGCACAGCAAAGACGGGAACAGGCACAGAGACTCCATTACCGTAGGAGTCCCTGTTCCCGCCGGCCGGCAACATTAAATAGATTGAGGGGGACGGTGGGCTGGTTTGTCAGGGGTAAAGTACAATCGGCACAGGCGGGAACAGACCTCCCTATTTCCCGCCGTCATTACACAGGGAAGGGGGAGGTGGGCTGCTTGTCTGGGTAATCCGGTCTGCTATTTTACACAGGTTAAAAAGGGAGGGAGGGTGTGTGTACTGGTCTGGAGCTGGCTGACTCCTAGCTTCAGCCATTAACAGAATAATTACAACATATCTCGGTTACAATGCCTTTAATTGTTTAAATGCTGTGTTGGTTCATATATATAAATTACTGCAAGTAGGAATCCTGTTATAATACATATATAGGTACTTCATGCTTATCAGTTATAGCAGTTATAATAGTAAATGCATTACTTACTGGTGATTAGATAATATCATACGATATCTGTTTTAGTAGTAAACTTTAACGTTTTAAGATAATTAATCCCTGTTAATATTAAAGGAAACATGGCTACTGGGAGCATTGTGTCTATAGGGTGGTCAGCACTCTCTGCAGTCACCCCCTAAACGCTTACTACTCTCAGTTCTACAGTCTTATGTGTATATCTTGCAAGAGTACCTTATCTAAAATTCTTATACCTCCAGGCGGATACCCCTGGACGGGTTAGCTATTCTAGGCCCCCCTCCCTACTTAAGAGACCTCTGTTTTATCTCATACAGAAGCCAGGGCTCACTTTTCTGCAGGTATGTTGGGTCACGCTATTGTCAACATGGCCTTTTAGATATTTTTCCCTGCTCCATAGTCCTAGCGGTCCGCGAGGCCAACTCCCAGCCTCCACTTCGAGGTACTATACGCCCCTCGGGCCAAATCATAGTTAGTCGCCTCGCAAATTATATAGAGAAGGCGACACCAATCACTGCCAAATACCCCTCCTGTCTACTCATGGAGAGGCCAACGTCCTATCACCATTGAAGGTGTCCACGTCCCTCGCGCCAACTCATAGATAGAGCCTCTCTAGCCACTTGGCACTAGTAGGGCCTCACCTGCCACAAATCATAGAATAATCTTTCGTCATCTGGCACTAGCTAGCCACCTGTCATTTCACACCCCTGGTTACCAACAATGTCTATTATATATTTTCAGTATGTCCCTACCCAGACGATGGTGAGGATATGTCAATCCCTAGCACCCCTGCTAGGTCATTCACCCCGACTCGCAAGGGCGACATAGGAAGTCCCTCGTCCATCAGATCATGGACTATCCCCCGCATCACTGCAGAATTACGCAAACGCAGTGTCCCTTTCCCGGCTACTGCCAGGAAAGCGGAACTGTTCAAATTACAGAGGCAGGGGAAGGGGCACAAGCGGCTCTCAAGATCCGACTCTCCACGCCATGGTTGCCACCCTAATCTCTTCTATGGGGAAGGTCAATGACAGGCTGGAGAGACTGGAAGCCCGTAGCTTCCCAGTACAGCCTCCTGTCCCTCTCACCGAAGTAATCCCGGTCATACCCACAGCAATAGCGGGTAATCCTGCCCACATGGTTTCGGCTAATCTTAAAAAGGACATCCTGGAAGGCAAGGACTTTAACTTAGTCTCACTGCTCATTGCCTCCCAGGATGTCGTGGATAACCGTTCTTACGACTACGGGGACATCTCGGTGGTTCTAAAAGCCAGAGACCCCAGACTCAGTAAGAAACTGTCCATTCCTGATTTTGTTCTGGCCTTCGGTAGATATTCTATGCACGGTTCATCCCCATACGAGGGAGGAACTGGATCTATATATGCATAAGCTGGTGGACCTAGTTAAAAGTATGGTGGCTATACTTTTTACGACTACCACAAGTCCTTTTCATCAAAAGTGTCGGCCATGTTGTCCCAGTACGGCATCCAGATGGATTGGAGCCAACTGGACAACGAACTGTTCCTCAGACATTTCGCAGGGCTTAGGACACCAGCTTGTACCATATGTACGTCACCCCCTCACGCAGCTAATCTGTGACCCCTCTGTCCGGACAGCCTTCCCGGCTCATCTTTACAGCATCCCCCAAGGGCTGAGAAACAGACCAGAGACAAACTGGGTCGTCCAGTAGTGTACCTAGGCAAATCTCAGATTTGCAACAACTTCAATGAGGGCTCCTGCGGTTACAGCGCTTGCCACTTATTACACGTATGCTCGCATTGTTTCAGGGCACATGCGAAATCCATGTGCCCAAATAAAATGTACCAGAAACCTTATTTGTCTCGGGTGAATGTTCCTGTACTTGCATGTATGCTGTCCACGCACCCCTCCAAACACCTTGTGGAATTTTTATGCACAGGTCTCACCCAGGGATTTCACACGGGGCTCGTTTACATGCCAACAGGGGTACTAGAGTGTCACAATTTGCAGTCTGCCACTAATGACCCTACTTCAGTCACTACCTTGTTACAACAAGTGGATCAGGGGTTTGTCATTGGGCCTTTTTGTAACCCCCCCTTTTCCAGCTGGAGAACTAACCCTATCTGGCTGGTTTCCAGTAAAAATTCGGAGAAACTCAGACTCATCATTGACCTATCCGCACCCCACTCTTCAACCATCCCCAGCCTAAACTCATTGATTCCATCCGAGGAATTTTCCCTTCAATACTCCACTATTGATGACGCTACTGCGGCTATCAGATCGGCAGGGTTGGGGGCTTGGCTTAGCAAGATGGATATTGTGGATGCTTTTAAATTGTTAACATACACCCCTCTTTGTGGCCTCTGCATGGTGTTAAATGGCAAGGCGCCTACTACTTTTTTACAAAGCTCACTTTTGGGGCCAAGAGTAGTCCGAGGATTTTTGACACGTGAATCCTACCTAATCTCTGTAACCTTAGCCATTTGTGTAAATTATTCCCTTATACTGTGACCGTCCGCAGGGCTCCATCGAATGGAGTATAAGGGGATTATGATGCAGGCTGAGGGGAGGAGATGTGTGTGAGGTTACTAATGCCGGATTGGGTACTGTACTAATTGTTGAAAATCCCTCCCTTGCGTGGGAGCATGCTATATAAGGCACTGTGGAATAAAGGTGGTCAGTTCTGCTCCTGATGCTGTGTGTCGTCCAGTTATTGGGATTGCTGTGGGGATACTGTTGGATTATTTTGCCTGCTGGAAACCTTGCCTGTGGATTTACAATTTACTTGTTCCTGAGCCTCACTTGGATTATAAGCGGAGATAGCCTGGGGAATATTGTATCTCCGCTACAGCCACATTATCAATAAGAGTCGCTCTTCCTCCTTGGCGATTATGAGTTTCCTTAGGAAACTGACATGGCTGGCAGCTACCCATCAGTTCCACATTGTATGCTCCCATGTTCCCGGCATATACAACATGGCAGCTGACCAACTATCTCGCTTACAATTTCAGGCTTTCAGACTGTCCCTACCCTCGGCAGCTCGTGTGGCAACCCCAGCTCCAATTTTCCAAGACCTTATCATGGAGTAGATGAACTACTTCAGCACAGCCACGTTCTCACCAAGTTAGCCTTATCCACCAGCACTCAACACGCGTATCGCAGAGCTTTTCACTTGTACAAACAATTCATGTCTGACCATCACCTAGCCAACTGGTTTGAGGTTTCTTCACTGATAGCTTTTGCATCTTTTTGCCACCTTAAATTTAAATTCTCACATAATACTATTGCTCCTTCCCTAACCACAAAGGGTTCTTAACTTCTTACCCCATCCGAACACTACTGAAAGGCATAGCAAAAGCGGGACGGCCCTGCAACACTCAAGAGACTTGCCATTGACATTAAAATGTTCAAATCCTTGTCCGACCTACTCGACCACACACCATTTGAACCCCATACGAACGCGGTCATTAAAACCGCCATTTATCTAGCTTTTTATGGGTTTCTTAGACCACGAGAATTCACCAAGGGTGCCTCCTCACTTCTTACCTCATGAAACACACAGACTACTACATCCTGACCCTACCTAAGACCAAAACAAGTCAGATGGGGGAACCGGATCACATAACCTACTACCCCACAGGGAACAATTGGTGTCCGGTGAAAGTACTAGACACTTTCTTAGCCACAACACCAACACGCACCACAAAACCGCTACACGATGCAATTCTTACCACTGCAAAATTCATGCTTTATATCCGTATGCTTATCACCAGACTTGGTCTAAATCCTAGCAACTACTCAGGGCACTCCTTCAGAATCGGAGCGGCCTCCATGGCCTCTAGCCAAGACATTCTAGCACACGTGATTAAGACACTGGGTCGCTGGAAGTCCTCTGCTTACGCCACTTACATCCCACACCCAATCCAAGAGATTAGGAGGGCTTTCATTAAGATGTCTACTTAATATGTAATAATGTACTATGTTTTCTGAATAAATGTTTTCTTTGATTTATCTCTTTTTGCCCACTTTATTTACCAGCCTACAGCCTACATTGGTTTCGGCACACCTCAGCCGACTATTTCCTTTTATTTATTTCTCTTCACCAGCGTATTCCATATCATATGAGAATGCCCCGAACACGAATTGGAAGGCATGGCCTGAAGTTGTGGGAGGGGTTATAGACCTACTTAAGGGACTCCCCCTTCCCTTACTTACCTTCGTTGGTCTAGACGAACAGGCCCACCCTCCATTCCCATTAGTTATATTTTTACTCTATGTAAGCCCACTTTATTTACCGGCCTACAGCATACATCGGTTTCGGCACACCTCAACCGACTATTTCCTTTTATTTATTCCTCTTCACCAGCGTATTCCATATCATATGAGAACACAAATGTTATATATGTTTTATATTGAGCCATTTTTGTCCATTTTAATTTAAATTTTAATTTAAATTATGTCTCTTTTGTAACTACTTTTCTCTATTATGTCCTTTCTATTGTGTTTTGGAAGACAATGCGATTTTAAATATTATGCAGTTATGTCTTTTAAGAATTTTGTTTTAAAATTCTGTTTTAAAATTCTGTTTTTGGGGGGG